CAGTACAGGTATAGAGAACGACTGAATATATGTTCACAGTTCACAGTGGCGTACAGGAAACAAACAAGGCTGTCAGCAGTACGGGTATAGAGAACGACTGACTATATGTTCACAGTGGCGTACAGGAAACAAACAAGGCTGTCAGCAGTACGGGTATAGAGACCGACTGACACTATGTTCACAGTGGCATACAGGAAACAAATAAGGCTGTCAGCAGTACGGGTATAGAGAACGACTGACACTATGTTCACAGTGGCATACAGGAAACAAACAAGGCTGTCAGCAGTACGGGTATAGAGAACGACTGAATATATGTTCACAGTTCACAGTGGCGTACAGGAAACAAACAAGGCTGTCAGCAGTACGGGTATAGAGAACGACTGACTATATGTTCACAGTTCACAGTGGCGTACAGGAAACAAACAAGGCTGTCAGCAGTACGGGTATAGAGAACGACTGACTATATGTTCACAGTTCACAGTGGCGTACAGGAAACAAACAAGGCTGTCAGCAGTACGGGTATAGAGAACGACTGAATATATGTTCACAGTGGCGTACAGGAAACAAATAAAGCCGTCAGCAGTACGGGTATAGAGAACGACTGACTATATGTTCACAGTGGCGTACAGGAAACAAACAAGGCTGTCAGCAGTACGGGTATAGAGAACGACTGACTATATGTTCACAGTTCACAGTGGCGTACAGGAAACAAACAAAGCTGTCAGCAGTACGGGTATAGAGACCGACTGACTATATGCTCACAGTGGCGTACAGGAAACAAACAAGGCTGTCAGCAGTACGGGTATAGAGACCGACTGACTATATGTTCACAGTGGCGTACAGGAAACAAAACAGGGCCGTCAGCAGTACGGGTATAGAGAACGACTGAATATATGTTCACAGTTCACAGTGGCGTACAGGAAACAAACAAAGCTGTCAGCAGTACGGGTATAGAGAACGACTGACTATATGTTCACAGTTCACAGTGGCGTACAGGAAACAAACAAAGCTGTCAGCAGTACGGGTATAGAGAACGACTGACTATATGTTCACAGTGGCGTGGCAGGGAAACAAACAGGGCGGTCAGCAGTACGGGTATAGAGAACGACTGACTATATGTTCACAGTGGCGTACAGGAAACAAACAAGGCTGTTAGCAGTACGGGTATAGAGAACGACTGACTATATGTTCACAGTGGCGTACAGGAAACAAACAAGGCTGTCAGCAGTACGGGTATAGAGAACGACTGACTATATGTTCACAGTGGCGTACAGGAAACAAACAAGGCTGTCAGTAGTACGGGTATAGAGACCGACTGACCATATGTTCACAGTTCACAGTGGCGTACAGGAAACAAACAAGGCTGTCAGCAGTACGGGTATAGAGAACGACTGACTATATGTTCACAGTGGCGTACAGGAAACAAACAGGGCCGTCAGCAGTACGGGTATAGAGAACGACTGACTATATGTTCACAGTGGCGTACAGGAAACAAACAAGGCTGTCAGCAGTACGGGTATAGAGAACGACTGACTATATGTTCACAGTGGCGTACAGGAAACAAACAAGGCTGTCAGCAGTACGGGTATAGAGAACGACTGACTATATGTTCACAGTGGCGTACAGGAAACAAACAAGGCTGTCAGCAGTACGGGTATAGAGAACGACTGACTATATGTTCACAGTTCACAGTGGCGTACAGGAAACAAACAAGGCTGTCAGCAGTACGGGTATAGAGAACGACTGACTATATGTTCACAGTTCACAGTGGCGTACAGGAAACAAACAAGGCTGTCAGCAGTACGGGTATAGAGAACGACTGACTATATGTTCACAGTGGCGTACAGGAAACAAACAAGGCCGTCAGCAGTACGGGTATAGAGAACGACTGACTATATGTTCACAGTGGCGTACAGGAAACAAACAAGGCTGTCAGCAGTACGGGTATAGAGAACGACTGAATATATGTTCACAGTTCACAGTGGCGTACAGGAAACAAACAAGGCTGTCAGCAGTACGGGTATAGAGAACGACTGACTATATGTTCACAGTTCACAGTGACATACAGGAAACAAACAAGGCTGTCAGTAGTACGGGTATAGAGAACGACTGAATATATGTTCATAGTTCACAGTGGCGTACAGGAAACAAACAAGGCTGTCAGCAGTACGGGTATAGAGAACGACTGACTATATGTTCACAGTGGCGTACAGGAAACAAACAAGGCTGTCAGCAGTACGGGTATAGAGAACGACTGACTATATGTTCACAGTGGCGTACAGGAAACAAATATAGCCGTCAGTAGTACGGGTATAGAGAACGACTGACTATATGTTCACAGTGGCGTACAGGAAACAAACAAGGCTGTCAGCAGTACGGGTATAGAGAACGACTGAATATATGTTCACAGTTCACAGTGGCGTACAGGAAACAAACAAGGCTGTCAGCAGTACGGGTATAGAGAACGACTGAATATATGTTCACAGTTCACAGTGGCGTACAGGAAACAAACAGGGCTGTCAGCAGTACGGGTATAGAGAACGACTGACTATATGTTCACAGTTCACAGTGGCGTACAGGAAACAAACAAGGCTGTCAGCAGTACGGGTATAGAGAACGACTGACTATATGTTCACAGTTCACAGTGGCGTACAGGAAACAAACAAGGCTGTCAGCAGTACGGGTATAGAGAACGACTGAATATATGTTCACAGTTCACAGTGGCGTACAGGAAACAAACAAGGCTGTCAGTAGTACGGGTATAGAGAACGACTGACTATATGTTCACAGTGGCGTACAGGAAAAGAAACGAGGCTGTCAGCAGTACGGGTATAGAGAACGACTGACTATATGTTCACAGTTCACAGTGGCGTACAGGAAACAAACAAGGCTGTCAGCAGTACGGGTATAGAGAACGACTGAATATATGTTCACAGTTCACAGTGGCGTACAGGAAACAAACAAGGCTGTCAGCAGTACGGGTATAGAGAACGACTGACTATATGTTCACAGTTCACAGTGGCGTACAGGAAACAAACAAGGCTGTCAGCAGTACGGGTATAGAGAACGACTGACTATATGTTCACAGTGACATACAGGAAACAAACAAGGCTGTCAGCAGTACGGGTATAGAGAACGACTGACACTATGTTCACAGTGGCATACAGGAAACAAACAAGGCTGTCAGCAGTACGGGTATAGAGAACGACTGACTATATGTTCACAGTGGCGTACAGGAAACAAACAAGGCTGTCAGCAGTACGGGTATAGAGAACGACTGACTATATGTTCACAGTGGCGTACAGGAAACAAAGAAGGCCGTCAGCAGTACGGGTATAGAGAACGACTGACTATATGTTCACAGTTCACAGTGGCGTACAGGAAACAAACAAGGCTGTCAGCAGTACGGGTATAGAGAACGACTGACACTATGTTCACAGTGGCATACAGGAAAGAAACAAGGCTGTCAGCAGTACGGGTATAGAGAACGACTGACTATATGTTCACAGTGGCGTACAGGAAACAAACAAGGCTGTCAGCAGTACGGGTATAGAGAACGACTGACTATATGTTCACAGTTCACAGTGACATGCAGGAAACAAACAAGGCTGTCAGCAGTACGGGTATAGAGAACGACTGACTATATGTTCACAGTGGCATACAGGAAACAAATAAAGCCGTCAGCAGTACGGGTATAGAGAACGACTGACTATATGTTCACAGTGACATACAGGAAACAAACAAAGCTGTCAGCAGTACGGGTATAGAGACCGACTGACTATATGCTCAGAGTGGCGTACAGGAAACAAACAAGGCCGTCAGTAGTACGGTTATAGAGAACAACTGACTATATGTTCACAGTGGCATAGAGGAAACAAACAGGGCCGTCAGCAGTACGGGTATAGAGAACGACTGACTATATGTTCACAGTGGCGTACAGGAAACAAACAAGGCCGTCAGCAGTACGGTTATAGAGAACGACTGACTATATGTTCACAGTGGCGTACAGGAAACAAACAAGGCCGTCAGCAGTACGGTTATAGAGAACGACTGACTATATGTTCACAGTGGCGTACAGGAAACAAACAAGGCCGTCAGTAGTCGGGTAACAAGTATCACACCTGCCTGTCTGTGTAATTACATAATGTGACAGAGACAGAACTCGGGTGCACGAGCCATAAATCAATGCATTTTATTTATGGTGTATAGCCTGATAGGTGTAAAGTTCAAATTGCATGTGGTCAGTGATTGAAGTTGTGTATTGCATATTGTCATTAGCAGACAGGCAGGCAGACACATAGGTGTCAATGAAACAGACATTGAGTTTTGTCTGTGACAGAGGCATTATCATCTATATAACAGTTAGAAATTCTGACAATGCTGACAAATTCTGAAATTTGGCTCACATCAAAATCTACTCCGAGTACTTACCGCCAGCGAAGGTGTTCCGTCTGGAAATGTCGAACGCCTCACTGGTTGACACATAGCTGAGTAGATCTAGATCCTTAACAAGGTTCTTTTATGTAACGAGTAGATTATTTACTATTTGTTGTTTGTGTACTCAACCAAGATTAGAACCTATTCACTGCGCATGCGCTATGTGCGCAGCGCAGCTGTTGAAACCACTTTTCACCCCAGCTTGTTTTTTAGTGAATCGTTTGAACTCAGATTTCGCGATTTTTTTCATCGCGTTATTTTTCGACTTTATATGTTGAATTTGCATTTTTAAATAATTTGTTACTGTAAGTCCATACCGAAAGGTATCAGAATCTGCAAAGTTGTGTTGTGCGTTGCATGTAAGCTTTAAGCATCGTTTATATGTTAACTAAATTGGTTTTGGAATATAATATACAGATTTGTCATAAAACAAGAATGTTATTTAGCACGCGGACAAGTATAATATCATGACAGATGATCAAAGGTTGTACAGTGTTCTGTATGATGTATACAGAATTCTGTATGATACATACATCCTTATAATATATAATGCGACCACGTACCTGCTGAAGTCATATTTCGTCGACCAGCTCATGCAACAAACCATTCCTCCGTCGATTAATAGTGATCACGCATCTGTTCAAGTTTCATGCTTGATGAATTTAACACATTTTATCCACTCATTTAATGGTTAATGTACAGCTACACGTTCAACAAATGATATATACAACGACAGACAGACAACAACAAATATATAGCACAAAGTCATGAATGCATGAAGGACGATCCATCGGAATACCCACGTTCCGTGTCATGCACAACGAACATAAAATACCTTTATGGTTCTACATAATACAGAATATGTGTGAAGTAGTCATGGGTGAAGCGTGGAACAAGATTCGCCCTGAAGCGATGAGCTATGGAATCCTAGAAGGGCCATTGTCGCTATGTCGCATCGTCATGCTTTGAATAATATTGTTTTATTCAACCAAAGGGCGACAGTTCCGCATAGCGACAGTTTTCAAAGACAAAATATTTGGCGTTGTTGCATTGTCGCACTTTAGTTAATTTTACCACTTTTGGCTTGTTTTTGTGAGGGCGACAATGTCCCTTCTAGGATTCCATAATAATCAGAACAAATCATACTGGAGACCCTAGTTCGATTCACCACCTGATTTCACATGGGTACAATGTGTGTGTACAATCCATAACCAAATATATTTTATCATGACTACATTACACTGATACAACTTAACTGTGTTTAGAATTTTGGCCATAACAAATTATACAGACATTTCTTAAATGATGCTTCTGATCCTTAACTCTGACACGCCGATCCTGAGTCAACGTTCCGATGAGCGCTCTGGGAGCTTGTGACACATATGTCAGGTCACCCTGATCTTAGTTCAAGGCGTTAAGTATTGCTTACATTTGCACTGGAAGGTGTTAACTATGGCCTACACTTACACTGGAAGGTGTTAGCTATGGCCTACACTTACACTGGGAGGTGTTAGCTATGGCCTACACTTACACTGGAAGGTGTTAGCTATGGCCTACACTTACACTGGAAGGTGTTAGCTATGGCTTACACTTGCACTGGAAGGTGTTCGCTATGGCCTACACTTACACTGGAAGGTGTTAGCTATGGCCTACACTTACACTGGAAGGTGTTAGCTATGGCCTACACTTACACTGGAAGGTGTTAGCTATGGCCTACACTTACACTGGAAGGTGTTAGCTATGGCTTACACTTGCACTGGAAGGTGTTAGCTATGGCCTACACTTGCACCAGAAGGTGATAGCTATGGCCTACACTTGCACAAGAAGGTGTTAGCTATGGCCTACACTTACACTGGAAGGTGTTAGCTATGGCCTACACTTACACTGGAAGGTGTTAGCTATGGCCTACACTTACACTGGAAGGTGTTAGCTATGGCCTACACTTGCACTGGAAGGTGATAGGCATGGCTTACGTTTGCACTGACGAACTATAATTGTGAAATGATACTTTACCGAAATCATACTTTCTTATCCGTCTTCAGCATGCCATCATCGTTGTGATTATCGGGGACCTATGGGATCAGGTGGCCAGGCTAGATCCTACACATGTCTTACACAAGTCCTACACATGTCAACCAGGGAACCCTTTGAAAGCCTCACCAAAGCCTTAAAGGAGAATACTAGACAATTTCAATAATTTGCTGGGTGAAAGATAAAGTCATCAGAAACATGTACCCCAATTTTTAATTAAAAAATATGGTTATTGATTTTATAATATGTTCCTTGTCAAACATTTCAACAGAGCAAGAGTCGCACCATGTCGCTCTTTGATGTCTGTGTAGCAAGATCATGTCCGAACGACCTCAAAATGGCCATTCTCATCGCCATCTTCCTGTGGAAGTCAGGGAATGGAACTATTCTCCCTTAAACCGCAAACATGCTCAGTCATGATATATTGGTGGTAAATCCTTGTATGATTCTTCGTTCTGCGCATGTCTAGTTTGTCAGGTTGTGGGTTGTGATTTCTTTATGCTCTTTCCGTGTGTTTTCAGCAGCAGACTCTGATAGTTATGATACTGTTACTTATTTATGGGTAGCGTTCTCATTGTTTTCTGTTGCCGATTCATCGTGTATGGTAGACGTATGTCAGTTTATCGTTTGCAGTCTGTCAGTTGACACTGGTGGACCTGTGGATGGCGATACTTGGCTGCAGTCCCAGCTAACTGCCAAGGGGTACCTAATACAGGTAGATCCAGGCTCCCATCAGGTAATATTCTCGTGTCTGAAGGAGCGGTGGGGTAGTCTAGTGGTTAAAGCGTTCACTCGTCACGCCGAAGACTCGGGTTCGGTTCCCCACGTGGGTACAATGTGGGAAGCCCATTTCTGGTGTACCCCGCCACACTGGAATATTGCTAAAGGCGGCGTAAAACCAAACTCACTTACTCACTCGTAACTGAAGACAACTGTTGGACCACGGAATAGTGGCCTTGGGTCTGAAATAAATAACCTCTTCCGTCAAGCGAGAGGCGTGAAATCTATGTTATTTAGCCTCCAGTTGAGCTCCCATGTAATCCAACCAATATAGTTGTACCTCATGACAACACCATGTTGTTCACGTACCCGTAGAATGATAAGAGAGAGGTATCCATGGTATGTGGAAGATGAAGTTCATTCCTGTAAGGTTTGTCGATGCCGGAGTTAGTCCCAGGGTCATAGGAACTATCACTGTGGACATTGTGTATAGGAAGGAGGACCCAGAAAATGCCGTGTGACTGATTCAAATCATGTCGTCGATATGCCGGCCAGGTCAGGCTCCTCGTATGTGTTGATCAGTTCCCGGTGCAAAGAGAGACAGACAAAAGTGTGCAGTCACCTTCGATGGGGAAGGGACGGCTTTAGGCAAGGTAACAGATAATAGGTCACAGCCATGTCGTAACTTTTGGAAGAGAAAGCCATGTCGAGGACTTCGGGGAGTGTTGATGAACCAAACGTTCCTTTCGCATGTGACTGCAGAACTCAGAGGGACCTTGTCAGCATTACGTCTAGCCTTATTTCCTTGTATGTTTCGGTATGTCCACCAACTTGTAGAAGTGCAGTGCATATATTGGAATAAAAGACATGGCCCCGATTTCTCGAAACAAACTTAAGTCTGAGTTTCGACTTAAGTAATCGGTTTTACTCAAATTTGAGAAAATGCATTTCCCAGAATGAACTAAAATTGATATTAAACTTAAACATAGTAGACAATTTGAGTTTGGTGGATAGATTCCTTAAGTTGTTTGGGCTTTTTTTTAATTAAAAAATGCAGTTGAGTTAAAAATTCATCTGTTTCAAATTGTCTAACTCAGTTTGAAATTTGAGTAAAAACTTAAGTTTGTTTCGAGAAATCGGGGCCTGATTGTGTTATAACCAATATGGTGGGGGCTCGTTCTAGGCATTGTCTCATGGGCTGCGTCCAAGGACGAGAGATTAACAACCTTCTGAAGCGGACGTAAAATAACATAAACCTTCGACTCATTGGAGAAGATAATACACTGACTAAATTTTAGTATCAAAGAAAGGGGATTTATGGTCTTGCCTTGTATATATCGTTGTTATTACTTAATATATTCCTGTGGGCAGTTGAGGTGTTATTCAGTTATACATCCCTAAATTCTTGTATGTGTTTGAGGTGTAATATACAGTGCTCTCGTGTGGAGTCCCACAAGGTTCAGTGTTGGGACCTGTGTTGTTTCTCTCATACGTAAACTGTCTCAAAACCATAACTGACAAGTTTGGGACTCCTCATTTTTCATATGCAGATGTTATGTTCAACTGATGAATAGATTTAACACTGAATCAATTTCTGACACCCTAGAACAAATTGAAAACTGTGCTTCTGAAATTAAGTCATGGATGACCGAAAGAAAACTAAAGTTAAATGACGACAAAACAGAGGTATTATTGGTGGGAAGACAACAGCACATCGACAAGGTGGATGTTGAGCGAGTGATGATTGCTTCTGCCTGTATCTCCCCATCACGACAAGTCAAAGATCTTGGAGTACAGCTTTCCATGTCTGCACAAGTGGATCATCTGTGCAAGACATGCTACTTTCACATTCGTTCCATCCGAAAATATATCACTAAAGAGAGTGCACATATCCTGGTCAGATGTCTTGTGTCTTCCCGCCTAGACTACTGCAATAGCCTTCTCACTGGAATATCCAAAGAACACATGAAAAAACTCCAGAAAGTGCAGAATACAGCCGCTAGAATTATATCTTTCAGCTCTAAATATGATCATATAACCCCTGTGATCAAGTCTTTGCACTGGCTTCCTGTTCAATACCGAGTTGACTTCAAAGTTCTGTGTACAGTCTTTAAGGGTCTCAACAACCTTGCCCCTACATATCTCTCATCTCTCCTAACCCAGTATGTGCCTTCCAGAACTCTACGTTCCCAGGATAAACAGCTCCTCAAAGTACCTCAAGCTCGGCTCACCTCTTTTGGAAAGAGGAGTTTTCAGCATGTCACGCTTCTCTTATGGAACTCTCTACGGCTCCAAATCAAACTCGCCCCGACCCTGAACTCTTTTAAGAAGGCCCTAAAGACATTAATTTTTACTAAAGCCTATAAATGACATTTTCCCTTCTTCTGTAAATAGAATGTTTTAATGCGCCATGAGCATGCATGAGTGGGTGGACACTGGCACTTTACAAATAGCCACTATTATTATTATTATATAGTCATACATCCCTAGATCCCTTTGTTGATGAGTGGGTTAATTTTTACATTGCATCTGCATTATTTCCGCCATATAGAGATGAAGATGCTTGACAATTGTTTTGTTATTGACAGGGATGAGAATGGGCAGGAGTGGAAAAATAGGAAAATGAGCCGTAGGTCTCGGGGGCTGCAGGTTCAGACAATTCACAAGAATGACTCCAGGGCGATGAAATCCACAGAATTCCATGGTTCTGCTGAAAATTCTCATCCCTGTATTCAGTCATTAAGTCCTGTGTTCCTTCTTCATCCCCCTGTGAGTTTAGGCCTTGTATATCCCAACCACACCAACCCTTCAGTCATCACCTACATATTTCTAGATAAATCATTATTACAAGCGTCACTGTTAGAAATGCACTATCAAAACTTTTAATGTAAAGATAAATAGAATAATGTATTTGTGACACTCATGACTAGACAATAAAACACAAGAGTTTGAGTATGTTCAAATGGTTTATTTCCAACACTGTTCTCGGAACGAGTGAACAACAAGGAGAGAGAGAGACAGACAAGCACCTGTCCGTCGCAATATGTCCAATATATTATAAAAATACTGATCCCCCATCCAGCACCAATCATGACAGCCGGCTCCCAGTACAAACAAAGGCAGGGCCATTATGACTGGAAGGTGGAGCAAGTGAATACAGTTAAATATTGCACAGACAGTTCAGTTCCACTGGTCTATAAATTAGCCTCACATTTACACTAAACACTACTCTCTATCTATCAACTACTTTACCAACAGGGCTAAATTGGAGAATTCATAGTTTTATGCAACAACCAGAATACAAGCAAATATCACATCTTGTATACATCTGTTAACAGTCTAGTGGTTCATCTCTCATTGGGGGCCAGTCATTTAACAGAAGGGGAAAGAGAAAGGATGTTTGATGTTTTGTCCCTTCAATTCCAAGATCAAGACACCACCCAACGTATGTAAAACCATCATATATATGCTTGTCAATGTTTCCTAACCATCACATAACACTTATTTATTTTATCTGAGTACATCTCTAAGGCCTGTAATATCATCCAACCATGCATCTCCTCTCTACTTCATAATAACTGGTCCCTAACCAAGGAGAGATTCAGCAGAATAGAAGATAATAATCTGACACACTATACACCTGTTTAACAGAATCCGTATCTTTTGCTGGGAGGTTTGATCAATGTATTTGGAATTCAATGTTACAATGTTAAGAGCGCATGAAAACACTAAACAGTTGATCTAATGCCATGCCTGATTCTTAGATGATCACACTATAATGTGTCTAAGAAATAGTATATAAAATTACTGTCAACTCAACCCCTGTATAGTTCACATATAAATGCTTATCTTACCAATATAACTCATCAAAATAGAAATAAAAAGAAACAATACTATGCATGAACTGAACTTAAAATGTCAGTTTATAGTCCTTAAAACAACCAATATGGATGAAAGGTATTCATAAAAAATCATTCATAATGCCTTAAGATCTCTTTTCCTCTATATCTGATTAAAACTAGACAAGTAGGTAATAAGACGCTAGTTGCACAGATTCACTTTAGAGATTCAAGACAACCAGATGATGAAACCATTGGCATGCCCCAACAAAACTATTATGTTTCTGGTCCACAAATATCATAATTTTCTATTTTCCATTAAAAAACAAGGGTGGTTGTAACCTGCTTTTCACATACAAATTCCACTCGATGCACAACAAATGCATTTTGCACTTACGTTTTCCCCACAAAACAGTACAAGAAATGTATTTTGCACTTAGTTTTCCCTACAAAACAGTTTGTGCAAGCTTGTTGTTAAACTTTGCACTCATCAGTATTCCAGCTGTATGACAGCTCCAGCATAACAAAGTCTGATTACTCTTCTGAGCGATCCCAGTACTATCACAACATCTCAGAACTCAACTCTCAATCAGGCCATTCAATCAACAAGCACTATTTCATCTGAGATGCACTACAATTTACAAGGATAAATGATGAATATTCATGAACGTAAGGATCATGCATAAATGCCGTAACATTTTTCCGACTAGAAATTCATTATGAGAATAATGTGACTGTAACAATTCAATAAGTGTCTATATTACAATTAAACATAAATTTTCTTCGCTATTTACACTTAAAGCAACTGTTCCTCAATGTAATAAGTCAAACAATGCCAATGGGCAATCCGAGCTGTTATTACACAGCTGTTATTACATACCTCAGTTCATCCTCACCAATCATCAACTAGTATTCCCAACTGATGGCATTAACTTGCATTATAGAAGATAAATCAACAGTGTGAACTTGTGTTGAAGTAATCACCATCCACAATCATACAATGCCATGATATATGTACACACTGCCAATGTAGAAATGTACAAATCACAATCAATGATCCACTGATTATACATTATTCACAGAAAATGTTGATTATGTTTGTAAACCATGCCATACTCACCGCACTATCACTGTACTGGATATACTGACCAGGCAGAGAAGATACAATCGTACCATACAGATGCACGTACAAGAAAATAGAAAAAAAATTGACATGTGTAGAGATTAAACTGTCAGACTTCACAATTTCCCAGCCTTCAAACAATAAACCTCATTTTGTATGCATGAGTAAATAAATCACAAAATGTTCAGCAGGAAGGTCATTATTAAAAAATGTGAAGTTAAAAATGACAAGAGCTTAATGCCCCGCAATATCCACCACGTGAACAACCATCTATGCATACAGGGTATTAGCTATTCACATACTGACATCAGATTTCAGTACATTAAAATTTCAAATTAATGATAAAACAATTCAATTTACAAATGACTGCATGCCAACAACCTCACTGTCTTCACATATACAACTTTGAATGTACAAGAATTGTTCACAAGGGCCACCAGTTTCCACCAATGTATTTGAAGGCTAGAAGTCCCCAGCTTAAGACTGGATTACATTCAAAGCCCATATAAGATTGTTGTCAGACCTTTCAGGTGTGTTTTCAAGATGGTAGCAGGAAGAGTGTATAAAACGTCACAACAAAGTCTAAAATACAAAGTTCTTAAACTCTATCTCTGACAGATGCTTGCTTGGCAGATGTTGGACTTTTTGTTGGAGACTTGGGGCTTTTCACAGGTGATTGTAATTTATGTCGAACCCAATCAATGGCATGCTGCATGCGTTTGAGATGGCGGGTATCAGCCCCGGTTATCCTGTTGAGATCAGTCTCTGATAGATTGAGCAGCAGCTGGATAGTGCAACATCCTTTCTCATACAGTGGGTCGATGTACATGGGCAGGCCGATGGAGATGAAGAAGTCCTCAATGGAAGATATCTTCAGGTCTACTGCATTGCTGCAGCTATCAGCCAATTTGTTATTGGGAATCTGTGAAAGACACACATGCAGTCAGACAAGATGATAAATAAGGCAGATACGTTGATGCAATCATGCAACAGACTTCACCCCTTAACAGTAGTTCTTGAAGGCATTCAGAAGATGGATAAACATGAATACATGACACGTTTTTATGGATAACAGTACATGGTCAATCCATCTACATTATAACCAATTATCAACACGTTAACCAAACAGGTCTAAACCGTTTGATTGGTAGGACAATGTATATATACCACAGCTGGACAATATTGAACAGATGCTTCAATGCGTTAACCAATGAGGATATGACTGTGGTATAACTTACAGAGTTTCTCTGGTGGTTCTGTAGATGGTAGAGTCGGACCTGCTCCAGCACCAGGGACACGCTGTTGATGTCCTGTCTCAGCTCCTCGGCGTACCGCTGGATCAGCAGGGGTGGGATGCCACACATGCCAAGCTGTAGCAAGACAAACTTACTTTATACCTTCACCTAACATAACACATTTCAGAAATACTGTGAGAGATAAGTTTATGTCATGAATTTAATAAGCAAACGCTACAGCTACCTTTCATCCAGCATTTAATTTCTCTGAAAATTTCAAGTTTAACCACGGAGAGTCTATATTTTCAATTTTACAGCTGGTGAGAACACATCTCACAAAACGTAAAATTTAAAATTTAGACTGTCCATGTATACTTTATGAACCTTTCCTATGTTCAGTGTTAACAATCCCACAATGATACAAATAAATGGTTCAAAACATTATTCATCTATTCAACTGACTTGAAGTTGCACCTACCTCAGATGAATACGGCTCCTCACTCAGATCAATCTTCTCAGCACTCAGCTTGGTGGACACCAGGGGGATGAGAGACCGACTGACGTTCTTGATGGTCACCTGACCATAGATCGGTTCAGGCGCTAACTGCCTGCCTTGGCCATATACGACACTACCATGAGGGGAGGCAATCCTCTCTGGGTAGTACATGGACAAAGGCATCTGCAGTTGTGGCACTGACATCTGGTGGCGACTATACACACTTCCTGGATTGATGTCCTTTGGGCGTTGGTTTTTGACTTGTGGATACATGTCCCTTGCGGCATATTCTGGTGTTGTGACCGATGTTATCTCGGTGCCGGGAGCTCGGGGTGGTGGCACTGGTTTCACTTTCCTCCTGGCTTGTGTACTTGAGCCATACACTGAGCACTGGAGGTTGGGGTTACTTGGGGAGTGGATAGAGGTCAGGGTCGTGCTGGTGCTTGTGTCAGAGGACAAGGAATTGCTAGCACTGGGGGTTCCTCTTGAAGGAGAATGTGACATCTTTGGTTTGCTTGACATTTTACTATGAACACAATGTTTACAATATCCACTCATCTTCTTTGAATTCTTGCCATTTTTATCAGGAGGTGACCCTGTCCTTTGTTGCAAATATCCGTTAGTAATAGCAAACACCTCCTTGTCTTCCTCCGTGTATTCCTTATCACTTCGATCGGTTTCCATCCCCTCATCCTCCCGCAGAGGTGACTGACCTTGAACCCTGGGCTTACCACACATACCACACATGTGACCACTGCAGTCGGCATCCGAGCGGGCTGCTGCAGTGTTAACAGGCTTCACTTGAGATGATGTTGTCATGACAACCTTTGCCTGTTGACTAGAGTGGGGTTTTTGAGCATCCTTGAGCATTAACTGTTCATTACTGGCATAGCATCCAGAGTCCCTGCTGGAGTTACCTGTCCTTGCCTGAGCATGTTCAGCCCCAGTGACAGTGGCAGGGGAAAGACTTGATGGTGTATCTGAGGAATTGGTCCCTGAACCGGATCGGTCACTTCTAGTGTGGCCATCGGAGGCATCATGGGCTGCAAGGAAGAAACTGACGTGTTAGGAAGAACAGGCATACAGGAAGTACTGATATTTGGCATCAAACCACAACAGCTCTCCATCTAGACTGTGTTTCGCGCAATACAGGAATGCATGACCTTGTGAGTGACTGATTGGCTTCAAAACTGCTCATCATTAAGTATCAAGAAGTTTCAGCTTAACACTGTAGAAAGGATCAAATAGAGTCGAGTTTAGACATCGACAGTGATTAAACATGACTATGGGATATGGGGGTAACAGGTCAAGGAACACAATCAATGTAATCTGCAGTATGCACCTACAACTAATGGATCCTTGCATGGATTGCATGGATTCTTTGGTCTTAACTCTACTCTACACTCAGTCTACTTGGCTTCCAGACTGATCAGTCAAGTATTTCATGGACTGAAATCCACAATCATAACCTCCAGCTTCCAACTTACAATCACAGTCATTCAGTAGTTCAGCTGCTGTCAGGAGTTTGGCCTTCTGTTCGGGATCAGTGATGTTCAGAGTGTTCAAGTCATCCTCATCCAGCTCTGAGAAGGTCTCCAACATCTCAAATCCATTCAGCATGAACAGGCTGGTCAGGTGCTGAAAAGTGACAGATGTAACCATAACATTACTCACCCCAAATTCTAGCTATATTGCACTTAGCATTAAATCTGGACCTGACATGAAGTTCAAGAGAGAGACAAAAAGGTTTATGCTCCACTTAGTATCAACCCAGTAACATCACACTGGTGGATGCAAAAATTGGGGATAATGCTCCAAAACTCGTTGAGGAATCCGACCCACATTTACAGTTTATAGAACCACACTTTGGCTGGGGGCCATGAGGTACTGAATCATCTGGCAGCAGCTGACATGTCATCCACATACTGGTTGTCAAAACAGTGGCCATAATAATACGAGGCAAGCATTGGTCTGTATGCACCCCACAGTAGTAATATTCACCAACCTCCAGGCCAATTCTCTGCATAAGTTCCTCAACCGACTTGGGTTTTGACTTGCGGGAGTTATGGCGCCGTAACTGTTTCTCCTTGCGTTGTGTCCTCAGCCAATCATCTCCCAGCACATCCACATGGGCGAACTTGAAGTTACCCACTCTACCATTAAGCACGCCCCTCCATATTCCCGAGTGACCCATACTGATGATGTTGACTACATCACCTCTCTGGAATATACACAAAGCAAATATTTGCAGATCTCCAAATAATTCAAAAATGCAATATCCAACCAAGTTACAATCCAAATTCCTATATTTCAGCTAGATTGTTGACTAGAGACTCCCGGAAACCTTCCAGCTTGTTTAGAACAGTTACAGGAAGCTCACCTTCAGGGGTAGGAAATCCTCCCTCCACTGGGGGTCAAAGTCTGTGTGGACACGGGCACGCCCCAGGATGGGGGCTGTTGCGTAAACTGGCCTGTCTGGTGTGGATGCAGCCTGGGGTTGGTAGACGACTGGGATGTGGCTGTTGTAGACTGGGAGAGATGAACACAAAAATTATTAGTCATGTTGCGAATTGTGGGATTCCTTTACAAGAGCATTCAATAAAATGTAATCATTCAGTAAATTAAGGCTTCCCAAAAATTATTCCTCTCCATCTACTGTATGATTAAACAAACATGTGCACACAGCAGAAGTAAGGTCAATAGTTCAAGCATTGGCTTTGTTAGTCTAAACCTTGGACAATACATAGCGTGCAAGGCCTGTCTCTTAGAGTTATCTCCCCTAGACTACAAGAACAATGCTATGTATTATCATCATCCATTTATTGCCTCTGGTTCTGAGGTTGAAGTGAGAGGGTGACTATATGTTGCTCTCCAGGGTACTGGGGACATGTTCTACCTAGGCTCCCCAAAAGGGTTCTGCTGAGCTACCCTGCTTGTACTTTAGAGTGGCCTGATATAGACATATATGGATTGTGATTGAAGCACACATCATGGTGAAGAATTCAGTTGAGGAGGACATCATTATCATAATCATACATCTTCGAGTTGTTGGAAGTATTTTCCCTGTAATATCTTAGATTGTCATACAGATAAATGTGGCCTTCAAGTATTCACGGTGGAATGTCATAAACTGTTACAGTTAAGTTGTATTCCAGCATTAAGGGTGGGATATATAGATTATCATACAGCTACAAGTTGTGTTCAGCTACTGAATGTGGAATGTCTTACTTGGTGACTTCGTCCCACCGTAGGAGTTCTCTCTTCTTAGTGGCGGCCGGTGAACTATCTGAGCTGTCCTGAAGTCCAACTGAAACAGAAACATCTATGTCAGCACAATTTCTCTTTAGCATCTTTAGAGTCCATTTCTGATATCGATTTCAACTTCTATTGAACACATCTTGCTGTATGAACACGTGCCTACTGAACACATCTTGCTGTATGAACAAGTACCTACTGAATACATCTTGCTGTATGAACAAGTGCCAACTGAACACATCTTGCTGTATGAACAAGTACCTACTGAATACATCTTGCTGTATGAACAAGTGCCTACTGAATACATCTTGCTGTATGAACAAGTGCCTACTGAATACATCTTGCTGTATGAACTGGTGCCTACTGAACACATTTTGCTGTATGAACTGGTGCCCACTGAACACATCTTTCTGTATGAACTGGTGCCTACTGAACACATCTTGCTGTATGAACAAGTGCCTACTGAATACATCTTGCTGTATGAACAAGTGCCTACTGAACACATCTTGCTGTATGAACAAGTACCTACTGAACACTTCTTGCTGTATGAACAAGTGCCTACTGAATACATCTTGCTGTATGAACAAGTACCTACTGAATACATCTTTCTGTATGAACAAGTGCCTATTGAAAACATCTTGCTGTATGAAATGGTGCCTACTGAATACATCTTGCTGTATGAATGAGTGAGTGAGTATGGTATTACACCCCTTTTAGCAATGTTACAGCAATACTGTGGGTGGTGACAGCAGAAATGGGCTTCACACATTGTACCTACGTAGGAATCGAACCCTGGTCTTGTATGTGATAGTGAACGCCTTAATCACTAGGTTACTAGGCTGAACAAATATCTACTGAATAGATCTTGGTGCACCAAAAATGAAAACTAAATGCATATTGAGGCATAAATGAATGCCCACAGTTCCACTCCACCTACACCCGATGGCAAGCACCTGCTTCCCTCACCTCTGCTGTGTGGCCTTCTCTTCCCTTAAGCACCTTGTTCTTTATGTCCCGGAGTCGCCCACTCAGCTTGCCACCGTTGCGACACACATCCCGACTCACGGCACCCAGGAGATGCTGAAACAAGGTGGAACATGCTGACAGATGAAGCAGCAAGCATTATCAAACTAGGACCCCAGTCTGTCGGGCAGAGCAACATGTGTCACAGTGTCTTTCCAGAAGTAGTCGTACCAATGTAGACTTCAGCAAATTCATGGAATTTGTGACTAATCTAAGCGAACCATGTTTCCATTATCACAAGAGAGGACTGTATCTCCTGTAGTTTTTTGTTAAATGTCACACTCAGCAGTATACCAGCCAGTAAAGACAGAGTATGGATCAGACAATCCAGTGACTGATGCTGAGGGCACTGATTCCTGGAAATGTGTACCCATCTAAACATTATCCAACTTATATGTCTAATGCAGGTTGCTCTGGACCTATTCTCATCAGGAACCCTTTAGAAAGAAGTCATATCTTCAGACCTTGTATGAATGTATAATAATACCAATTTGACCTTCATGACAAGGAATATCTTCAGACCTTGTATGAATGTATAACAATACTAATTTGACCTGCATGACAAGGAATATATTCAGACCTTGTATGAATGTATAATAATACCAAGTTGACATTCATGACAAGGAATATTTTCAGACCGTGTATGAATGTATAATAATACCAATTTGACTTTCATGACAAGGAATATCTTCAGAGCTTGTATGAATTTATAACAATACTAATTTGACCTTCATGACAAGGAATTCTAAACTTCTGTTTTCTGACCATGTGCACATGATCCTCAAGCCACTCTAAGTTCTCGTTCCTAAATAACGTGTCTGTTGGGTCATACGTCTTTCTCCAAATCGGACAAATCAAATCGCCAGGTAATCATTGTCCCCTTGCTGGGCATGGGTGACATGTTGGTTCAGTGTTTCATGTGACCACATGCTCCCTGTGTTAGTAGTTTGTTAGTGGACATGCACAGGCAAGGGCAGTCTAAGTAAACTTAGGCTCAGTATTATTCGTTACACTGCTATACTGAGTCTAACAAAACCTTGTAGAAGGTCGCGTCAGCTAACCTTTTGGACTGACCAATCAGAACACAGCTTACCAAATTGCGAAAGTTAACATTCGCACAAACCGTTTGAACCTTTACCTAAAAAACTCGAACGATTCCAACCTATGTTCCGAACGATCGCTTCGAAGTGATACACGCAATGAGTAAACAGTCGCTGAAAATAGTGCTTTTGTCAATATTGAAGGATGTCATCTTGCAAAAATATAAGCAAATAGTAACCATGTCATTAGAAACCCATAAGCGTATATACTGTCTGTGTTTTAGGCAGATTTTCGTTTATTGGTAGATCAGTGTCAGCGACCAGGGAAAAGAAAATTCAAAAACCGTTTAGTAAGTCCCACCGAACCCTAACAAGTAGTCGGTGTCTGATTGGTGAAATCCATTTGGCCGTCTCGCGTTTGATTGGACGGTCATATGCGCTTAAAGGTTAGCTGACGCGACCTTCTACAAGGTTTTGTTAGACTCAGTATAGCAGTGTAACGAATAATACTGAGCCCAAGTTTACTTAGGCTGAGGCAAGGGTAATTTGGGAGGATGAAGTCACTGACAATAATCGTTCCAGCTGAAGTGTAGGAGTTGCAGTGAGTATGTTTTTTACCACTGTTTGCAGTATTCCAGCAATATGATGCTGGGAGGACACCACAAATGGGCTTTGCTCCTTGTACCCATGTGGAGAACCAAACCCAGGTCTTCAGTGTGACGGGCAAATGCTTTAACAGCTCCCCATGAAGTGAATTTACAATGCCTCTGGGAGTGTTCTAAGTCCTGGCACTCACATTTTGCCATAAAGGCTACAGGTACAGATAGTGTTTGCATCAGTGATCCCTGGAGAAGTGACCAGTTTGCACTTGTGACCTGCTATTCAGTGTGTCACTATGGCCTCACAGAGCAAGGTTAATGCCTTGCATGTCAGCAGATGCTGGTCTAGTGGTTATTCCTTTCACAAAAAGCAACATCCTATCAAAAGGTTGTGTAGCTGAATAACTGCTGATGCAGCAGAAAGTGTGCTGAGTTGGCATTTGTTAAGCTTGTTGATGAGCACTGAATCAGCTGACTGATTACATGATCAGGTTTACAGGGACCAAGCAGGGATCAAGTGAGCACTTCTCCATGTCATATCCATGACCAACAATGCTGTAATTACTGACAATATTGCCTTATATTCAACATTTATTTCACATGACTTAAAAACGAAATTGTCGAACCTCAATTTCATGTAAATGAATTCAATAAACCTATAGTCAGCATTTCCCTGGGGAAATTTCCTTTTCAAAAACTAACTTTTGCAAACTGCATTCTAAGTCAGCTTTTTGTCTAGTCCTGATCAATACTCTCTATTTCAGGGGTGAAAATAACTTTAAAATTACTAGTGTACTCCGGTACAGTGGCACATGTGAAATCACTTGCCCTGATAATTTTTCCACTATACCGGCTGTTTTCTTGTTGAAGTTTTTAAATAAACAACATAATCAACATTGTAAAGTCAACTGGATGCCAGTACAGTGTGATATACGAATTTGCTTGCCCGACACAAAAAACACTGGACTCGGACGTCGGGCAATGGGTTATTTCCACCCCTGTCTATGTCACTGAGACAGATGAAATACTGAGCATTAAACAACAGCCTCTGTTGAGTTCAATTAAGCAGGAAACCAGAACTCACTCACGGCCCATTCTTGGGCCTTTACTGG